CTTGCCAGGCAGGTGCTTGTGCTGCTGAGACTGTTTTGAATAGTGTTAGGGCTTGTATCTTAATGTCTTCCCAAACCCTCATGTGCTCACAGGTAGAGCTTTGTGGAGGTGGCTGGATCTAGGTTATGTGAATATGGGTTAAAGGTGTGTGATAACTAAATCAGTCCACTGAGTGGTTTAGCATAGTTCTGGGTGTGGGTAATGGCAAGCCCCCCCCTCCCCGGGTGTGTGTGGCACTAAGCAAATAGGCTTACACCCTGAGTAGAACAAAAGGGAAAGGGAGGCTTGCTGCTCCTTGCTTCCTGACTACCCTGCCATGGACTCTTTCTCCTCTGCAATGCCTCTCTACCATGCTGCCCTGCCTTGGAGCCAGCTATGGAATGAAACTTCTATAAACTGTGAGCCAAAAATAAATCTTTTCTCCTTTAACTTTGGGTACCAGGTATTTTGTCTCAGCAACAAGAAAGTAACCAAGATAAACAGCAGGTGTGCTTTACTATGCACTGTACTGCCATGCACATAGTAGGCCACCATGCATACAGTAGGCTATCTATAATACATACTGATGGAATGCGTGAGTCCTTGTTGCTGAGACTAGGCAGGAGGGCACTGTGATTCACATTATTTAACCCTCATTATTGTTAAACAGCATGCTGGAGGGGCACTGCCAATATCTTCAGGGTACATAGGTGAACTCCTTGAAGCCTAAAGGGGTGGAGCATTTCCCCAAGGCCACACAGCTGTCAGGTATAAGAGCCAGGACCTGACCTTCATTTTCCAGTGCCAGAGCTTCATTTTCCTAGGTCTGTTTTCCCATATCTAGTAAAAACTGGATAAGGAAAGAGGGCATCTTGCTCCATTCTGCTCTACCTGTCCTCTGTCTTCCAGAACCTGGCTTGTAAACACTGCTATCCACATTTGTTTCTGTTAAAACAGTCTTCCTGACTCCCAGTGCACTGGTAAGTGCTCTTAAGAGGAAAGTACTACAAACACTCAAGGTGCTGCTCTGAAAAGAAATCCAGGGCCTGAAAGCTGGAGTCCTGCTGGCTGAAAGGCAGGTGGGGAGCAAGGCTGAGGTCAGGCTGAGGGGCTCAGACCTGGGGTCTGCAGAACAATGTCGGAGGACGAGGAAGAGGGAGGAAGAGACTCTATCCTCTGCTGTCCCCAGCAATAGTCCAGGGTACCCCATGTGCTCTAGTCTCTGACTTCCTGGCAAAGCCCAAGGGCAGAAGAGATAGCTGGGGGAGGGCCTAGGTCTATGAAAAGATTCTCTTTGAATGCTGTCAGCTTCACACCTTTCCCCATCTCCCCTCCCAGGAGAGGGGCTTTTATAATGAGCTCCTTCATGACAACAGACCCCTAATTAATTCATTGCTATTCTTCTGGGGCCAGATCATTCTAATCAAGGTGGGGTGGTGTGGGGTGGCAAGTGCGGGTTGTCATTATCTACTTGATCTGCCATGGACAGCTGTTGGCCTTGCCTCCTGCAGCACTGCTCCGAGACCTCCCCCAACCCTGCCACCTCGCTCTTGCTGGCTGGACACCTGCTTCTCCTTGCGGCCCACTCCTCCTTGTGCTGATGCCCTGCAGCTATCAGACATGATGCCAGCAGTAGCCAGATTGCTGGTGGCTGGGTACCCTGCAGCAGGTGCCAGCATCTCACCAAGGAAGGTGAGGGAAGGAAGCAGGGGCTGGCCTTGGCCTTGGGGGCAATAACTTTGTGTTCTCTTCTCTCTGAACATTATTAGACTATTGGGTTGGCTGAGCAGCCAGCAAGGTGTAGCCTCAGTTCTTCTCCTTGGGTCTCCCCTGGTCCTTCGACCCAAGAGGCCTCCCTTACCTGGGAGCTCTGTGCTCCTGGACCACAATGTCACCAACCCCAGGGGCAGCTGCAAAGGAGGAGAGTGCAGGAGAAGGACTGAGACTACAGCGAGCTACCCTAGGGACAATAGAAAACAAAATAAGCTTAGAAAATGCCCCCAAACCAGAGCGTACTCAGGGACAATGCAAACCAGAGACTGTGCAGATCTAGCCCCGGGCAGCCTTTTCACAGGCTTTCCCCTGTCCTTTCTCCGGATGGTTGAAAGCCGGCCTCTTCAGTCTACCCTTCCCATAGGTGCCACCTGTCCAGCCATGTCTGGCAACTTAACTCTGGGGTGGACGCCACAGGGCCTTCTGCCAAGGGAGCGAATTCTCATTTTCCTCGTCCACAAGACTGGATGAACAATTCTGCCAGCATGCAAGGCTGCAGAAGGGACAGTGTGACGAGGAGCAGGCAGGCACTCGGAGAACTGGGGAGGCAGCAGGATGGAGAGGAAGTTCTGACTGATTTATCCTCCTGTAGACCTGGGTGGGACCGGACCCAGCAGGAAGACCGGGCAGGGGGGAATTCTTCATGGGACCATAGGGGCAACTGCTCACTCCTGCACTCTGCCTTTTCCAAGGGAGCAGGCTGGAGAAGGTGAGAAGAGGAGAAGGAGAAGAGGGGTGGGAGAGGAAGAAGAGAAGGGAACAGCAGGCGCTCCAGCTGGACCTCCCTGAGAGTGCCCAGCCTCCTTGTGAACGCAGCGCTACTAAGGAAGAGCCCGCAGGAAGGGTTTGGCCAGTGTCTCCGCAGGACCTGTTCTGGAGACGCAGAGCTTTGAGACCACTCGTCCCAAGCACGGCAGTTTACAGATTGAGACCCCTTTTACTTTTTGAGAGAGAGAAAAGCTGCAGGGAAGTGCCAGTCCTTCACCCACAGAGAAGACATTTCGGGGCAAACCTGCCCACTTCTAATCTGCTCCTCAAAGAGAGCTGCAAGGAGCTGCGGCTCAGTCTTTGTGTGAAGTGCTCAAGCAAACCGTCCATCCCTCCCACGCCCCCAGCCCTCTCCACTTTTCTTTTAAGAGAGTGCTGCATCTCTCCAGGGATGGGGATCACTCACAGAACAGCACTTTGCCTCTCAGAGCTTCTGACAATTTGGCAGTGAGCTGCAAAGAAGCTGGGGAAGGGGTGGGACAGGGGTGTGTCTGGAGCACGGCCTAGTGTGTTTCTGGCCCCTGGCCAACCAAGGGACACTGGGCCAGAGCAGAGCTGTGCAGGTGGTGTGCTGGGAGGAGGGTGCATGCTGCGAGGCTCCCATCCTTACCCACTTTTGCTGTTACCTGCTAGCTGCCTGGAGTCTGGACAAGAGATCCTTCTGGGAAGGGAGAGTTGATGCCCTTTATTCCAGCGGGCACCGGAACTCCCAAGGACAAGAGGTGACTGGGGGTGCCTTATGGGTCTGTGGCCTGAAGGCTGAACCTAAACAGTGAATGACCTTCCAGGCCAGCAAAGCCCAATCCTTTTCTAATAAGAAGGGAAACAGTTGGGAGAAAGGAGATCTATGGACTGCCAGGCAAGTGGTGATGTAGACAGGCCAAAGGGAAAGAGAATTCTGGGGCTCCCAAGAGAAGACCTACTGTGGAGTCTCCAACATGTCCCTGAAGAGTCCTAGCCACTGGGAAAGTGCATCAGTTTGGAGGCCTTTCTCAGAGGAGCCAAAGGGTGTCCAGCCTCCCAGGGGAGGCTCTCCTCTCAGAGAACTAACTTAGCTCCTCCTGGCTTAATCTGTGCCAACTCCCCAGCCTGGGAACCCAGCGCACTGAGTCATCCTGGTATGTGAGTGTGTTTACCATTAACTGAGCACATGCTCTGCACTGGACAAGGCGCCAGGCCTCTTGCCCCAAGCCCATTTCAAAGACGAAGAACTCTGCACGGCTGCAGTGAGGCGCCTTGCCTCAGGTCACACAGCCAACCAGCGGCACAGACGGCTTTGAACCTGAGTCAGTCTGATTATTAATCCATTTGCCTCTCTAAAAGACACTCACCTTTGTCTTGGGTATAATGTTAACATCTTACTGTCTGTCATTTTAATGCTCTTCTTCTGCTGCGTGAGCCCTTACCTAAGTGCCAACATAAATTATAAATTCCCAGAGGTAGAAGTTGAATCCATATAGTTCATTTTATTCAACTTTTAGCAGAGTGCCAAGCACAACGGGGTGCTTAAAAAAATTGCATTCTATCCTTGAATCAACTTAGAGCTCCGGAAAGCCACAAGCTTGGACCACAAAAGCTTACCCAGCAAGCCTCCCTTTCCTTAATGGCCTTACACACTTGGTTTTGACTATGTGCTACTCCATGGGAGTAACTCCCTGAATGCCAGTTGTCACATGGATGTCACAGACTTGGCGCTTTATCAGGAGGTAACATGAGACATTGCCATATGAAAGAAGCCTCTAATTTTGATGTTAAACGTTTGTCCTGGTTTCCATGTAAGGTCTCACGTAATCATTAATTACTTATAGAATGCAATGCCTGGGCATTGTCTCTCCTGAAAAACAGGGACACTTCTAGAGCAGAGATTTTCTAGTTTACTTCATTTCCTTTAGGATATGGTGGCTGAGACAGTGAACTCAAATCTGAGGCTGGCATTGGTGCCTGTGTTAACCTCCTTGGTAGCAGCGTTACCTCACCTCCCGGCTTTGTGGATTCGCTACTCTAACTCCAAGCCAATCATCATTACAAATGTCTGCCAGATCTTTCACTGTAAGTCACCTTAATTCCTTCTTTGGAAAAAAGGGGGCTATGAATGTGTATGAATAATTATGCTCACATCTTCTCTTTGTACCGCATCAATCTGTACCTTGCTGTGTGCTGCCTCAAAGATGTACTATCAGATCTTTGTACCAAGAGCTTGTATCTTTGTGTCTGCAGGTAGGAGGTGGCCAGTGGGTGTCTCCAGGTGAGGTGGAGGAGGAGGTGGGAGATGCCACCAACACTCGGAGCCAATGGCGGACTTGAACTCCACCACACTAATAAAAACCCATAGATGCACTGGATCTATTTGTATGAAAGAATGAATGACTAAGTTAATGAATGAGTGCTTTTTCTGAGCCAAGAGAGTCTTCTCATAGGAGAGGGAGCAAGGGCTGTTTGGCGTAAGGCCCATCCTCAGGCTGCAGAGGACAGTCAAGGTCACCAAGAGAGTCCAGTGAGCCTGAGCTTGCCACTCTGTCCCTTTCAGGCCAAAAGCGTTGCTCACACGCATGGTGGGTGAAGGAACCAGGTCACTGTGCCAGGTGCCAGGGCGCACAGGGTGGGAGGAGGGAGAGGAGGGAGGGAGAGAGGAAGAAGCAAGGTGCTGGCCTCTGTCGCCTTCTTCCTCTTCCCTGCCCCGAAAGGGAGAGGGATGTTAGTCCCAGGGGGTGTGGGAGAAATGGCCTCTAAACCTGTCTCTCATTTCATGCTAATCTTTCAGCTCCTACTTGCTGCTCTTCCCACTTCCCTACCTCATCTGCCTCTGTCCATCCCCAAGTCTCTGCAACCGCTCTGTCTCGGCCTCTGCCCTTGTCTCTCTCCCGCCCTCTCCCCATCCCCCAGAGGGAAGCTCCTTGCAGCCTCTGTGACCCTCCACCCAGGCTCCAGGGTAAGCTGGGGCAGGACACAGCCCGAGCTCAGGGGCCCCCTCCCCTACACTGACCTGCGCCCACACCTGGGCTTTCCTTCTAATCCTAGTGGCCTTGACAACGCCACTTGGGCTAATTTTTCCCTGTAATTAAATGAGAGCCCCCCCAATCCATCTCTAATCTCAGATAATTAGCTCTCTGATCACCAGTGCTGAACAGGAAACCTCCTGTTTGGAGAGGGATTTTGGACAGACAGATTAGGCAAACACTATGCAGGAAGCTGCGCTGGGGAAACAGGCCGTTTTCAGAGTTTGTTGTTGAAAGAGATTTGGGCTGGGTAAAAGTGCCTGGTTCCCTCCAGGTGGTCTGGCTGCCTCTGACCCTGTGGGGTTTTCTGACAAACAGGCAGCTTGTCTTGGCCCTCAGCCGGCTGTGGGTATTCCCGGGGCACACGCTTCTTCTGGTCACAGAACACTGTGCTTCCCTCCGTGGGCCAGGGACATAGACAGCCCCTCGATGTCCACCCTGCATGTTGGCTGGTGATGGTCTTAGGTTAGCAAAATAAATAGGATGGGTGACAATAAAACTGCATGACTCCTTCCAAGCCAGGGAGCAGCAGTGGTGCTAGGAGAATGGGAAATCCCCGTCCCATAGGCACTGGGGAGCACCCTTCGGAGATGGGTGCAGTTCTCCCAGGCACGACTGCCCTGTGTCAGTGCCACAGGCATGGCACGATCATCCGCTCTGATCTCACGTGTGCTCTGGTCACGACATCCGTCTTGCTTGCACTGTATTGTTTCCACCACCTAATTTTCTGGAGAGACGGAAGACTTAGGACTCTGATGGCCAAGGGCTGGTGGGCTCTTCTGTACAGGTCTGCATGCCTATTGCTACTCGATAGCCCCCTAGACTTCTTGCTGCTATGGGGTGGGGCTGGCATTCCCAGGTGCCCTCAATGGCCGGGCATGGCCAGCATTCTCAGTCGGTTCCTCCTTCTTCCTGTGCTGCTTGGAGCTGTGGCATTAGCACTCTGTGGTTCTCACACATGGAGGGGCACGCACCGAAGCTGGGAGCTGGTGTGAAGGGGACTTAAGTGCTAGGAAGGAGACCTGTGGGCTGGCACCTGGAGGATCTGCCCTGCCTGCTGCCAGAGGCGCCTGGCCCTGCTCCCCAGCTGCAGCTCCTCCAATGAGCTCAGTGCACGGGGGAGGCAGTCTGGCCATGGATGAGTTCCAGATGGGCTATCAGGTTTGCCCACACTCGACTGTGAGGCTCCTCTGGTCTCTGCGGCTCCCTCAGCTCTGATTCAGCTGCCTGAGAGAGGCCCACTGTGGAATGCCAGTGAAACCCAACCCGCTCCCACCAGCTCCCCTCTGTCCGACCCTCTGCTACGTCACATGGCTTCCCTGCTCCTTCTCGGCCTCCCTTCATGAGCACAACCCTCACCCCTGTCCCCCAAGTAGCCAAGGTTGGGACTGGGAATCTGGCTGGCAGCTGGGCCTCTGGCTCAATACTCTGACTCATTTCCTTCTGGGAAGCAGGAGTGTAATGTTCTGGGTTCAAGTTCTGGATATTTGAGAACAAGGTGTCTGCATGAGGAACCTGGGATGGGGCAGAAACTCCTCATGTTCCCCTGGCTGCTGGACCTGTCGAGCTGGCAGTGACCAAGGGGAGCACAAAACTAGGGGGAAGCAGGCAACAGGTACATAACAGCATCTTGCTCTCCTGTGGCTCCCGTCTCATTTAACCCAACACGCTGCAGGAGAGACCAGTGCTGAGATCACAGATTTGGCTTCTGTCTCCTGCATCTTGCCACAAACACTAGTGAGGACCTACTATGAGCCAGGGAGGAGGTTTTTGCTTTGGAGGTTCAGAAACAAATGCCACACAGACTATATTCTGGAAGCCAGGACTGTTTCCCATGCCACATAATTAATAGATTAATTATTGTCAGGGAGGCCCTGTGGGCTTTGTGATAGATCTTCACACAACTCACTCATCCCCCACTGTTGAAACACAATCACATCCATTACTGCTTTGGAGTGAAAGGGAGAATTACTGCAAGTGGTGGTGGTGGGGTCATATCAGGATTTTCTGTCCAGTAGAATGTGCTTCAGTTTCCCGTCTGTTACCAGGATGTGACTGTGGAGTTTCCAGAACCTTCCATGGCAGCCTGCTTCACCCCGAGCTGAGCTGTTGCTCCAGTCTCTCTGAGGATGTGCTGCCTGGGTCCTTTGTTCAGGATGGGCAGGCTGGAGCTGATGCTGCCCTGTCAGGGTTGATTAGTGGGGATGAAATTTGCCTTTTGCTTCAGAAAACCAGTTTAGGTTCTCTGGTGGGAGCAGAGGCTCAAGCTTAAGGGAGAATGCCCCCAAGGTCAGGGATGTGAATTAACTGCAGACGCCTGCCTCCCTCTCCTCACCTCCCCGAAGCCCCTCGCGCACCTCTCCCCTCTCACCAGCGGCTGGGCCGTGCACAGGGAACATGCCCGCAGAAGAAAGGCTGGGTTTTTTTTCTTCTTCAAAGAAGTTGCGAAGCTCCCTCTAGCCTCTCTGGAGAGTCGGCCGAGGGAACAGTCTGTCTCAAAATGCCATTAAAACATCTCTCAAATTAAAACCATTCCTGGAACGAGCAACCTCCAGAGGGAGTGGCTCCACGGCCTGGGAGCAGCCGCTCCCTGACTACCTGAGGGCGCCGGCAGGGTGGAGCCTCCGCCCCAGGCTCAGGTTCCCAGTTCTCTCCCTCAACCCACAAGTGCCCCTGGGCAGGGCATTCAGCCACCAAGGGCCTCAGCTTACCCACCCCATTAATACACTATAAACGATCCCTTTCCTCCTTCCCTAATTTCAGTGCGCTTTGCCCTGAGATAACATCCGGGTTCTGTCTCAAGCTTCTGCCCAGCCTTCCTCCCCTGCCTTCTCTCCACAGTCACGGTGCTATTTTGAGTGGAGGCTCCCAGCCAAAATCAGTACTTTATTAATTACGCGTCAACTACTCTGTAATGTTTGACGCGATTCCCAGATTGCATCCAATACACAGTAGAAGGAGGACTCTGGCGGTGCCTGCGTGCCTGGCACAGTGTGTACTGGGAGCAGGTCTGGACCAAGGGCCAGCCCAGGTCTGCCTGGACCAGGCCCTCCCCTCTCTGTCCTGGAATCGCTGTTCAGGCCAAGCCCAGACCTACACACAAGCCCCAATTTCAACAATGACACCCCTTGTGGGAGTCAGGGAAATGTGGAGGGCCCAGGACTTCTGAGCTCTGCTAGCAGCTAGGGCCGGAGGTCAAGGGCAGTTTGGACACCTGGCTCCGTGCTATGCCAAGGAAGGCTGGAGACGACACCAACCATCTGCTCTCTGAAGTGGAGATGGAATCAGTGTATCAGAGCTGGAAAGATGGGAGGGAGTCTTGGGTGTGACACTGTTGACTGCCAGGTTTCTGGGGCAGTTTTTCACTGTGTGACTTGGGCAAGACCTTTGGTTCCTCTGGGCCTCAGTTTACCTATCTATAACATTCAAGATGAGCTTCCAAGACCTTTCTAATTTCAGCTTCCTTCTGGGAGGAGATGCTAGAGAGGAGCAGAATCCCTTGGGAAACAGAGATAAAGTCTGCAGCTTCCTGCCCCTCAGGAGATCATACGAAGACGAGTGCAAAGCCTTGCTCTGCGTGCTGTAGCTGGATGAAGACATCCGTGTGCCTGACAGCCCGAGGACACAGGTCCTGCTATCAAGGCTGTGTTGTTCATAGAAAAGACTCAGAGAGGTTAAGTAACTCGCCAGAGGTCAACGCGTCTGGAGAATGGACCTAGCCCCTGCGAGGTCCGTGAGCATTGTTCCCCGCGCATGCTGCAGTTGGGGAGGCATCAAGAGCATGAGATATACAAGGCCAGTTCAGCTCTGCACTTGAGCTAGTGGACAAAGATGTCGTTCTTGAGGTGGCAGCGGAGTGGGGCAGCCTCGGGAGGCTTCACAGTGGGGCTCGGGGAGGAACTGGGAGGACACCACATGCCCAGGCTGCTGGGTATGGAGATGGGAATTTACGCAGGGAGGGGCCAGAGAAGCTGGGCCCAGGGTGAGAGTGTGGCAGTGGTGGGCGGGGAAGGATGCGGAGATGGAGTGTTTCTGGTGACAGAGGCCAGAACCTTGCTCCAGACTGTGAGCCATACTGAAACGCTGTGGGGAGCCATTAAAATTTTTTTTGGTTTTTTATTTTTACTTTTATTTATTTATTTTTGTCTTTTTGAGACAGGGTCTTGCTATACAGTTCAGCCTGGCTTTGAGCTTACTTTGTAGCGCAGGCCTTGAACTTGCAACGATCCTCCTGCCTCAGGCTCCCCAGTGCTGGGATTACAGGCACGCACCATCATGCCCAACTTTTGTTCTTTCTTTAGTGTGGAAGCTAGTAGTATAGGGATGCCTGGCCATAATCCTAGCATTCTGGAAGGCTGAGGCAGGAGGATAAGGGAGCTCAAGCCTAGTTTGGGTAACTTTGCAAGTTAGTAAGTCCCTATCTCAAAAAGAAAAATACAAGGGAAAAAAACTGCAGTGTAACACACAATGAAGACACTGGGTTT